CCCCATAGAGACTGTGTCTGTCCCCCGACCACCTAAATTATTTAAAGAAATACAAACAAGAGGAGTTCAACATAAAAATCTAATAAAAATTAAAACCAACTCCTCAGTAGCACAAAATAAGAGAATGAAATGTGGACTGTTAAATATCAGGTCTCTGTCCTCTAAAGCTGTTTTAGTGAATGAATTAATATCAGATTATGATATTGATTTACTTTGTCTTACTGAGACCTGGTTGTCCCACGAGGAGTATGTTAGCCTAAATGAATCCACCCCCCCCAGTCATATTAATACTCACATTCCTCGAGGCACTGGCCGAGGAGGTGGAGTAGCAGCTATATATGATTTGAGCGTTTTAATGGACCCTAAACCTAAACTAAATTATAATTCATTTGAAAGCCTTGTTCTTAGTCTTTCTCACCCAAACTGGAAAACACTGCAGCCAGTTCTATTTGTTATAATGTACCGCGCTCCTGGACCATACTCTGATTTTATATCTGAATTCTCAGAGGTTTTATCAAGTTTAGTCCTTAAATCAGATAAAGTTATTATTGTAGGTGATTTTAATATTCATGTGGATGTTAACAATGACAGCCTTAGTAATGCATTTATCTCATTAATAGACTCAATTGGCTTCTGTCAGAGTGTAAATAAACCAACTCATTGTTTTAATCACACTCTTGACCTTGTTCTATCATATGGCATTGATATTGAACATTTAATAGTCTTCCCACATAATCCTTTCCTATCTGACCATTATTTAATAACTTTTGAATTCATACTATTAGATTATAAGCCATTAGGCAAAACTTCCTACAGCAGATGTCTATCTGACAGTGCTGTAGCTAAATTTAAGGAGGAGATTCCTTCAGTGTTTAATTCAATGCCATGTCTGAATTTAACAGAGTCCTATAACGACTTTAGTCCCCCTGAAATTGATAATCTTGTCGATAGTGCTGCAGGCTCACTACGATCAACATTAGACTCTATTGCTCCTATAAAAAGGAAATTATTAAAACATAGGAGACTAGCACCTTTGTATAACCACCAAACCCGCCAGTTAAAACAAATAGCTAGGAAATCTGAAAGGAAATGGCGCTCTTCCGAATTATCAGAATATCGCTCAATTTCGCAAGATAACCTTAAAACCTATAGAAAGGCCCTCCGTAATGCCAGAGGAGCCTATTACTCAGCACTAATAGAAGAAAATAAGAACAACCCTAGGTTCCTCTTCAGCACTGTAGCCAGGCTGACAGAGAGTCACAGCTCTATTGAGCCACATATCCCCATAAACTTAAGTAGGAACGACTTTATGAGCTTCTTTTATAATAAAATTATTACTATTAGAGAGAAAATTAATCACCAACTGCCATCAACAGTTATCAGTGGCTCTCCAAGTTCAGGGACTTTTCTAATGTAAACTCAGATATATATTTAGACTGTTTTTCTGCTATCGATCTTCATCAGTTAACTTCAATAATTTCTACATCGAAGCCATCAACCTGTCTGTTGGACCCAATCCCAACTAGGCTGCTTAAAGAAGTTGTTCCCTTAATTGGCACTTCTTTACTGGATATGATTAATCTTTCTTTATTATTAGGATATGTACCACAGTCCTTTAAAGTAGCTGTAATTAAACCCCTTCTTTAAAAGCCAACTCTTGACCCAGGGGTTTTAGCCAATTATAAACCGATTTCTAACCTCCCCTTCCTCTCTAAGATTCTGGAGAAAGTAGTCGCCAAAGAGTTGTGTGACTTTCTACATAACAATAGTTTATTTGAGGATTTTCATTCAGGATTTAGAGTCCAGCATAGCACAGAGACAGCTCTGGTTAAAGTTAATAATGACCTTTTGATTGCTTCAGACAATGGACTTGTATTATTAGATCTTAGTGCTGCATTTGACACCATTGACCATCATCGACCTTCATTCCTCCGACCTCCATCCATCCCTCATCCCTCAAACCTACCTCCACCCCTCATCCCCCGAACCTACCTCCATCCCTCATCCCTCGAACCTACCTCTATCCCTCATCACTCGAACCTACCTCTATCCCTCATCACTTCATCCCTAATCCCTTCACCCCTCATCCCTCAGTATACCACATTGGTTCACATTTGTTCATTATGTGCAATAAACTTTTCTTATTTCATACATTTGATGGCGTGGTCGTTGTTAGTGAATACATTATAGAAAAATACCAGCAACAATTTGCAACACCATAAATCTACAAAACCAATGCAAAAATAATTATTTGTAAAAGAGAGAGTTGTTTCAGAGCTTGGGCATACCTTATTTAAATAGCAGCTCACATCGACGGCCTTTCTGTGACACAAACAGGTTAATCACCATGTCAAACTCCACAGTTTCTCCCTGCAGATCATTGGGTAATGGGCACATGCAAAGACACCAAGTGCCTGGCTTTCTCAAAGAGAGCCTTTGACTTCTCGATCATTAAGTCACAGCACTATGCAGCTTCTGACACATTATCAGAGCGCCGCATTCTGCACAGCGTTACAGCGGCTGCAGCTGTGTCTGCATCTGGATGTGGCTGATGGTCATCTGTGGTCGTTTTGAGAGTATCTGTGGTCTAAGATGTGTACTTTGCAACCTGTGTGTTTGACAGGTGATCGGCTAATTGACTGTCTAAAACAGAGAACTGGTCGTCGCTTTCTGTTAGCCAGTCTATTAGCTGAAACAACGTAACACAAAACTACGATATTGTCCTTTTGTGTTATTTGAACATCATTTGGATGATGTGTTCCCAATCTCTGTACTCTGACTTTAAAGAAAATTGATTAGAAAGTAAATAATCCAACTCGTGCATGTTCATGCTAACGCCCGCCATACTACGAATTAGCCTCACTGTACTGTAGCTACTGCGCTGTGATTGGTCAAAGGTCAGCCTTCGGGCTGAATGAAATTAGCCCAAATGGGCAGCATATGAAGGGGGCATGTCAGGACACCTGTCAATCAAAAGTCAATGGAACCTTACGCTACTGAGCTTGGACTTAATGAATTTTGCCCAAATGGGGGCGCGTCACAACGCCTGTCAATCACAATCGAATGGAAGCTTATGCTACTGTGCTCGGGCTGAATTAATTTAGCCCATTCACAGGAAAAAAGCCAGGATATATCATATATCCTGGGTTTTCTGTCACTTTTTGGTGCTGTTGCTGCTCTAGGTTCTAACAAAATTCAAAACAATATGTTCTAAGGGTTTTAATAATAGTTTTTCATCTTTACTGTAAAAGATAAGGGGGGCTTAGCCCTGTTAGCCCATATATACCAGCCGTCCCTGAACAACATACTGTCATACTGCTGAGAGAAGATTTGTGGCTAAAACCTTAAGTAAAAGTAATTCAGTTCATTTCACCTTTGTTGTTCATCCACAGGGAATTAAGTGTATGGTATTGTGCGTTCGAAAGAGGGGGCATTGACTTTGCAGAATACACATTCTTAATGTTGCCATAGCATTTATCTAGAATCTTGTTATTTTGGGTGTTGCATCGTACATATTGCTCAAATCCTGGCAACACAGTCTCTGGCTGACAGTGGTTAAAATCAGCTAAAAAGAAAATAGGTGCCCCTGGGGGGCGCTGCAGCTGTTCGTGTGCGTGTATTTGATTTCTGATATTCAAAGCAGCTTCTTTTCTTGACACGGAGTTCATCCATCTTGGGCATCAGCCACTGCACGTTGCTCAGAATCAGCCTCCCCGTCTCCCTCGCTTCCATTGTGGCCTTGTGCTGGTTTGTGTTGCTCAGATGGCAGTGAGCAGATGACGTGGTGGTGTGGATTGGAATGATCGGAGGGATAGTATTGTGTCCCTGCAGTATACCCGGTGTAATCCATATTCCCACTGTGAAGTTTTTGTAGAACAAAGAACTAAAAGTCCACTAATGATCAGAGCCAGCAGGAGGATGGCCAAGTTTTGTAGAGCCGATGCCACTGTTCGAGGCTACCAACAGTTGCTGTTAACGCAACACAATACAGTCACAAGCACAATCCCTTTAAAGAGCGTACTGCCGTTAAACATGACCACTTAAAACACAACATCAACAAGACATTAGCAACAGTAGCATGAGCCTGGGTCGCTGCAGAGCCGTCCCACCGGAAGATTGGAGGATTTAATGCTATGGGAGGCTTTAATGCTCTAACCTACACTGACCACATTTTTCCCAATATTCCAGAGTACTGCTCAATTGCTATATATTTAGCCACATGTTGCAGTGATCACAACCTGGTTGCCATTACAAGGAAAAGCAATACATCTAGGGCTGGAAATAGAATCTGTCTCCAACGGTCTTTTAGAAGGTTTAATCAAGACCTGTTTGTGATGGAAGTTAAATATGAGGAGTGGACTGGACTGGAATGGACTGCTCTAACTGTTAATGTCACTGCCATTAATGTGCAACCAAATGGAGCAGAGTAGCCTCAAAGTAAACACAAACTCAGAGACAAACAGAGGCCAGTTTGACTTGTTGCTACAAGTAACTGTCAGCAACAATGTAAGATGCCGTTAGCTAGTTAGCTTGTGTAGCTAATGTTAGCTGACTTAGCCCCAGATTGCCAGGAGCCAAACCTGGCAAAAAACACCTTGGTCGTCAAACTGTCCTCCATCGGCATCAGATGCTGCATTCAGTCCCAGTCTGGATGTGCTGTTCACTGATAGCTCCCAGTCCCGGCAGTCTGCTACAGCTGCTTGTTTTTAACTGGAAATACGTAAATATGTGGAAGCAAATAGCCGACTGATTTCCGTTTTTAGAGGGTTATGTATGTTTCCCAACAACAGCCAAATACAGAATGCAGAAAATAATAATAATACATTGGTTAGTGCATTTCTGTAGCAATGATGATTAGTATCCTGAAAATACGACACAGGCAAACATCCCAGTAAAGAGCACCTATGGGTGCAGGCCTCTAGAGTTTGATGAAGTTGTTCAGATGATAGTAGCACTTGGAGATTTTAATGAGATCCATGGAGGGTGCTGCAGGCTGATAAAAACAATCCTCAAACAGTTCACTTTCTAAATGTTTACTGGAATAGTTCAACAATCACACAGGTACAGGTCAGGGTCAGGTACCAGTGAATAAAAGACAATCTAATCCAGGTTTCTCTATGTTAATGTGATCTTTAAAGCAAGACTTTACTCTGAATGTTTCTGGAGATGAACCTAATGCATTTCCTGGTCAGGTATCTCTATATGAATGAGAAAATCACATACGAAATCTTCATAGTGAAACTTCTTTTCTTTAGTTTTTGTATTCCTCTTCTACAATCTGCCTGTCATATTCATTATTGTTTAATCTGTGACAACATTAATGGATGATCAAGTAAATATAACATATATAACTATTGATGGGTATGTGGAAGTTCACAAATACAGATATCTTTATTTTGTGATCATGTTCACTGCATATACATTAATAATCTGCAGTAATTCTACTATTGTGTGTCTGATCTGGATTAACCAAAACCTCCATGAGCCTATGTACATTTTTATTGCAGCTCTGTTAATCAACTCTCTTCTTTACAGCACTGCTTTCTACCCAAAGCTTTTATTTGATGTTTTATCAGAAAAACAGATCATATCATATTCAGCCTGTGTCTTTCAATGGTTTGCATATTACTCTCTAGACTGTTCAGAGTTCTTACTGTTGTCAGCCATGTCTTATGACAGGTATGTATCCATATGTAAACCTCTGCAATATCCAACTATCATGAAGAAAAGAACAGTCTATATTTTGTTGGTTTTATCTTGGCTTGTGCCTGTTTGTCAGCTTGCAGTGCCAGCAGTACTGAATGCTAATGTAAAACTCTGTAACTTTAATTTCAAAGGAATAATTTGTAACAGCACAGTTAACAAACTTCATTGTGTGAGTTCAAGAGCGATGACTATATATGGCTTGATTGTTTTTTCAAATGCTGTAGTTCTTCCTGTGCTTTTTATATTGTTTACATATACAAAGATCTTTATAATATCCCATCAAAGTTGTAGAGAAGTCAGGAGAAAAGCTGCACAGACCTGTTTACCACACTTAATAATTTTAATCAATTTTTCCTGTTTGACTGGATATGATGTACTTCTACTGCGACTGGAAACTGAGTTCCCCCAAACTGTACGTTTAATAATGACTTTACAAAAAATTTCGTATCATCCTCTCTTCAATCCGATCATATATGGACTGAAAATGAAAGAAATCTATAAACACCTCAAGAGGTTGTTCTGCAAAATAGTCTAAAGTAGGAACAATGTAACTGTACAGTCATAATAACTTATGTGATTTTATGTGATTTCTGTGATCCTTTAAAGGTATTTAATGTGAGTGTGTGTGTGTGTGTGTGTGTGTGTGTGTGTGTGTGTGTGGATGTTTCCGTAACAGTAGTGCAGAGCAAGAGCATCATCAGTTTCATCAATGTAATGATTAATGTCTGAGCAACTGGCTGCAGTTTTTCAAAAACCCTGGATAGGTCATGCATACTGCAGAGCTTCATTGTGAGGCCAACGTTTTTCTGCTAGTGCCCTTCATTAGGGTGACTTTGCTAATATGGCATTAAATTTCTCTTTCTTTGACTGACTGCAGAACAACAGAACCCTGCTACCACCAATGTCTTTCATACTGGAATCATTTTCTTCTGAGTGTACTGTTGAAGTTCATCGTGCTCATAAAGTGAACATGACAAATTAAATGCCTGTCTAAAAAGCAGGTCTCAACTGTGATTTGGAGTTTATTGAAATAATTACAGCAAACAAATAAACAACATAAATAATGATTATTATTATTATTATTCCAATAATTGTAATCACCTCCATATATTGGATATAGTCTCACATGATTTAAAGAGGGTGAGCTTACTTCTCATCTCTCTCATGTGGTGTTTCTTCCTTCATTTTGGAACAAAAACTCTCAAGGGATTCAGTTCTTCCCTGATGTACCAGTTGTGGTCATAACCTTCCAACTGTATGTTCTATTTACGCTCAGCACAGATAATAACAATAATATCAGTAATCATAATGAGGTTTGGTAAGTGTGTGTAACGGATGTGGGTAGGGCATGGAAGGAAACGGCTCAATTACTTGTTTTTCAGCATTTATTCGCTCCTGCAGAAGACAGTAATGCACATTAATTTCCTTCTAGTCTTTTCTCTGCACCTCTGTTTCCGTAGGAAATATTAATACTAACAATAATAATAGCGGTAAATTAAAATAACTCATTAAGATAAAATTCACACATACTCAACAATCATTAAATGATAAATAAAACTGACAAATACAAATTGGAAATAAGAATTGATAGAGTGCATTTTTACCTCTGTTACATGTGCTTGATTGTATGTATAGACAGCTGAATGTCTACATGTGTTAGAGAAAAGAAGACAAAAAGAGGGAATACATTTTGTTTTGATCATCAGCGTCAGTATTACAACCTAAGGTGAAAAATCAATACTCCCATACAGAGGCAAAAGACTTTGACTCGCCAAAGTGTATAACTGAGAAAAATGACTTATGACAAAATCTTTTGTTGTCTAGCTAAATTAATTCTATGCAGAATATTAGAAATGTGGCAATTCTTTGTGTTTTTAATGAAGTTACAAATCTTGAAGTCAAACTTGACCTTTGACCCTATTTGTTTTTAATTGTTTGCATAGTAATACTATACGTATAAAATACTAAACTATATCAAATCAGTATACGATAATAATAACAACATCTACATAAAGTAGAGTGATCATATCACAATTTGGCTAGCAGTTTGATTTGTGCTTTCTCGTCTCGCAGGTTCTTATCGATCCTGGTGGAGCCTCCTGCCATGGTCCTGCTAGATTGCCATTGCCAATACTGTTGTTGCTGTGCACCTGTCTGTCTGTCTGTCTGTCTGTCTGTCTCTCTCTCTCTGCCTCTCTCTGTCTCTCTCTCTCTCTCTCACCCCAACTGGTCGAGACAGACGACCACCCACCTAGAGCGGGAGGATCTGTCCTAGGTTTCTGCCTTTTAACAGGCAGTGTTTCCCTTGCCCTTGTCTCCAAGGTCTTTCTCATGGTGGTACTGTTGGGTCTCTGTAAATAATGTTATAAAGAGTTCGGTCTAGACCTGCTCTATTTGAAAAGTGTCCTGAGATAACTTCTGTTATGAATTGGCGCTATACAAATAAAATTGAATTGAATTGAATTGAATTGAATTTGTTTGTCAAGTAGTTAATCTAAGCTAGTTAATGAGTAATTTTGCCTCTTTATCCAGAATCTTTCTTGTAGCCTAACAGAATCTTTCTTACCTTGATTCTGGTGTCTGCGTTTGCAAACCACAAACATTTTACCTCAACAGCAATGGACCTCTAGTTCCTAAAAATATTGCTGCAACAGTATCTATCTATAAAGCAAGAAATCTCTGTCTGTCTGTCTGTCTGTCTGTCTGTCTGTGTGTGTGTGTGTGTGTGTGTGTGTGTGTGTGGCTCAAATATCTCTGCAGATCAGGATCAGACTGACCACAGGGCTGCTGTGTGGTTTAAGGGTGTGCATCGTCGGCTTTGTTTGGACTACAAATATACCATTAATAAATTATTTCATAAATTATTTCCAAATTCCGCAATCATTGCCAACGATAGCCACTGTAGCCACGTGCGCACCAGAGCCAATCACTGCAGAGCCCGTGTTGAAGGTGTTTCCCAGTTGTCTCCCCCTATCAATCTAAACCCGCGGACACTCTATAATCACATGGATGCTGTTATAATGTGTAGTGATTGAGATCCTGACCCACCAAACATCCTGGAAAGTGACCAAGTTACGTTTTTCACTCTAAATGACACAATTATTACACAATAATCACCAGCAGTAAACTGACTCCCTCACTCGCAAGACTGAGAATGTTTTAACACTCCGCGAGTTTTTCTCCAGTGACAGACGCTGTTTTTCGGGCAGAAATGTGACGAAGAGTCGGTAGGACAGGCGGGAGGCCAGACAGGAGGACAGACGCTTCTCCACGTACTGCTGTGGTATTTTCTTTCCTCATATAAGTTTCCAAAGACAGTTACAGTTACTACGTTACTGTTGTTTGGTCCTGTAACGTTGCTTTGTGGGACATTTCTCTTTATTAAGTTGAGTGAGAGACCTGTGCAGTTATCAGACTGTCTGACTGACCCTAACCCTTGGCGCTGGATCCCCAAATCTCTCTCTCTCTCTCTCTCTCTCTGATGTATGCTGGCCTATATTACAGGACTAAATAATATGTCCTAAATGTCCCTGACGTCCCACCTTCAAACAAAACCTCATTTGCCATCAATGAAAAAGCTACTTAACCTCACACTTTTCTATAGCAATACATACTTCCTACGGGTACTGCACTAGTTTACTTTAAAACATCATTCAAGCTGTGTGTGTGTGTATGTGTGTGTGTGTGTGTGTGTGTGTGTGTTAGACATGCTTCAATGACAGATATTAATGATTACCATGCTAAATATATGATGTTATGCCTTTATGGTGTATGTATTACACAGTGCTACCAGTGTAAACACCAACACTGCCCCTGTGCTCCGAGCACCCAGACCCAGGTTTCCAGGCCTAAGCTAACTAACTAACAGCAGCTACATTTGGTAAATGCTAAATGCTAAATGGACCTGTACTTGTATAGCCTTTCTAGTCTTCCGACCACTTAAAGCGCTTTTACACTACATGGCACATTCACCCTTTTCATAAAGTGATGGCAAAGCCCATCAAACAGAAACTAACTCATCCATGCACATTCAGACACCAATGACACAGCATCTGGAGCAGTTTGGGGTTCAGTATCTTGCTCAAGGATCCCGGCCATCTTATCAACTATTTTAATGAAACACTCTCCTCTTGTCTCGACCAGCTCACTCCCATTAAAACCAAAACAGTCTCGTTCACACACTCAGCTCCCTGGAATACTCCTGAACTCCACCAAATGAAATCTGAAATCTGCACTGTTAGGCCAGAAAATGGCGGAGTAATTCATGTTATGATTCCCTATTTTTTTTTTTTTTCTAATTTAAAAAATAGTCTTACCACTTTTTTCCTGCATCAACAGCCATGCTCGCTGCTCTATGAGGCAATGCTTTGAGCTAAATGCTAACATCAGCGTCTTAACATGCTCATGATGGCAATGCCAACATGCCGATGTTTAGCAGTATAATATTTACTATATTCACCATCTTAGTTTAGTGTGTCAGCATGCTAACATTTGCCCTGATAATGGCGCTAGATGAAAGGGTCACCAAAGTCACTGTCCACCTAGTCCTTCCAGTACATGTTGAGACATTTCACAGAAAACCTCATGGTGGTGCTAGAGGAAAATTGAGCATGCATGTCTGAAGTTTGTGCCAATTCATCATGAGACAAAAATGTGAGCTGCTGGTGGTGTCAGATAAGAAGCCAGGGGATCACCGGGCAGTTGGTCTGTTTCAACAGGCCGACTAATATTTCCAGATCTGATATGAGAGAAGTGTCCTTAAAGATTTTAAATGGGTTAATTCACAGAATGTTCTTGTTTATTAAAGTGATTTTGTGTTGTTTGTGCATAAGAGATGATAATTCGCTAGGTGAACAAGACTCATTTACGACATTTAAGACTGACTTTACCTTTATGCAACTAAGTGGATGTCTGAAATTCTTTAATGTCACGAACAATATTGCAGTACAGGGTAAGCTCAGGAATAAGGAGTATATAGTCAGCATTGACTATATGCATTTCTGAGTGAAGCTAATATAAATTACATTGCTGCTATTAGGGTTATATTTTTAATTGAAAGATTATTGAAAACAAACTTTTTTTTTTAAAACTGTAACTCGATTATAATTCAAAGGATCAAAATGTTGTTAGTTTTGAATTACTGCAATGAAGTGATCATTGTACTGTTGAAGCTGATGATACCTTAGTTTGTAGGAGTCATAATGAAATTCTTTTAAAATTTAAATACCTTTCCAAAAATCACTAAAATCTCATCTCAACATTATTATTACAAAATTTATAATTATTTATATTTGTTCATATATCAGTTAAGTTTGTCTTGACAGAACAGCCTCTTCAGGTGTCTAGAAATTTCTTTCACTTTTTAGTCTGTATATGATCGGATTAAAGAGAGGATGATACAAAATCACTTGTAAGGTCATCACAAAACGTACAGTTTTTGGAAAATCAGATTCCAGTTTAATTATAATGACATCATATGTAACCAAACAAGAAAAGTTGATCAGAATTAACAGGTGGGGTAAACAGGTCTGTGCAGCTTTTCTCCTGACTTCTCCACAACTTTTGAAGGTTATTATAAATATCTTTGTGTATGTAAAAAGGATGAAAAGCACCGGGAGGAGTGTAACATTTATCAAAACAATCACACCATATACAGATAGCGCTCTTGAGGCCACACAGTGAAGTTTGTAAATTGAATTGTTGCAGTATATTCCTTTCAAAGTAAAGTTACAGAGTTTGATATTAGCACTAAGTGCTACTGGTACTGCAATCAGACAAGCAGGCACAAGCCAGACACAAATTAGGCAAATATTGACAGTTGTTTTCTTCATGATAGTTGGATATTGCAGAGGTTTACATATAGACACATACCTGTCATAGGCCATTGCTGCCAACAGTAAGAACTCTGAACTATTTAAAGAATAATATAGAAAACACTGAAAGAGACAGGTTGAATAAGATATGATCTGTTTCTCAGAGAAAAAGTCAATCAGAAGCTTTGGGTAGATAGAAGTGCTGAAAACTAGAGAGCTGACTAACAAAGCTGCAATGAAAATGTACATAGGCTCATGGAGGTTTTGGTGAATCCAGATGAGATACACAATAATAGAATTACTGCAGATTATTAGAATATATAGTGTGAATATAATCACAAAATAAAGATATCTGTATTTCTGCACTTCCACATGCCCACCAAGGGTTATAATTGTTGCATTTAATTCATCATCCATGAAGCTTTTCAAAAACTCAGTGTATAAACCAGGCAGATTTTGTAACAGGCATACACGATTACATTCAACCTGTTTGGATTGTTACCTGCACTTGAGTGTGTGTTGACCTTCAGAGTTCAGAAAGTGAACTGCGTTGCTCTCTGGATTGTTTTTATCAGATCACTTCACCCTCCATGGATCTCATTAAACTCTCCACCAGCATCATGTAACATGTAAACAACTTCATCAAACTCTGGAGTCCTGTAGGCAGCAGCAACAACTGGGGGACGTGGGTACTCAATGTTTCTTGGGATCCAAAGCTTAAACATGCCAGGGATAATATTTCATAACCCCAGATGTTCTGCTGCCATGGGGGCTAGAACGTATATTGTCCCTTTACTGTGCAATATTGATAAGCTTCAAGGAGATGGTGAAGCAAGCCTGAGGCGTCATCGATTTCTGTTTATCAGAGTGAAATGGTTTGACAACAAGTGTGTCAGCTTGTGGAGCAATGTGGTTATGGACCGTATAAGCTTTGCCAATATTATCTTAGCATAAAGATCCTCACCTGTCTGCCTGCCTGCTTGCTTGCAATCTTAAGTAAGCCATTTCCTCAACCGTCTCATCATCATTGCCATCACCCCTATGTTGGGAAATAAACCAACTTAACTTCACCTAACTCTAAATCTGAATTTGGACCCACATCTTAACTTAACAATTTCAGAGTGCTATTAAGATCTGTCCCCTGCAATAACATACCAACTCAAACAAATTATCTTGTTTTCTTGTTGTATCAGAAACTACAGGCCAGTTGCTCTAAGCCCAGAGTATTCCACCGTCCCTACCACTTTGGACAGTGGCCTATATTTGACACTCAGTGAGTGAGGTGCAGCTCTAGAGTGTCAAGTTGGCGATGTTCTAAGTGTGGAGATGGGAAGTTGTACCTTTGTTTGAACATAAAAAGGTGTCCTTTGTTGCATATAACCAGAGATTAATGCGTTTGATAGGGTCATACTTTGTGGTCCAGTATGCAACAAGTGTGATGTAGAAATCTGAAGCAACCAGTGCACATACACCCAGAATGGACTTAACAGTGAAGTAGGAGACATCTTGTGTCCAGTGTGTGTAAACTTTTAATTATGTTTTACTGATATTCTATTTCTGTTCTATTACACTGACCTTTTACAATACTTTTAATACTTTAATACTTTACGAGATGCTTTTTAGTATTTTTATTATATTCATGAGATTCATGATCAGGTTACTTTTATTTTGAGATTTGTATTTTATTATTATTATTATTGTATTTTTTACAGAAATAAACAGTGGTGAATACTGTTGATATGTGATGACTGTTAAAGCCTTAATTCTTTATTCACCTAATTGTTTGCATCTTTCAATTTTTTTTGCGCATCACTGTACTTTGTGTTTGTTTTTTAGTTGGGGTGAATTGGATGCTTTTGTTTGTTCATATTGTCCTTGTAATCCTTTGCTTGATTTGAATTTAAGAAACGAAAATACATCAAATGATCTGCTTTTCCTTCTTCTTTAAGTATTTGGGGGAATTTTATGTCTTTACTTTGGCCTCTTACTTTATTCTCTGACCTACATTATCATACATTAACACATTTTTCCTCAGGGATCGATAAAGTATTTCTGATTCTGATCACAATTGTCCAAGGTGCTTGATTAGATTTGGAGGAAAAACATAAAGCCCTCTCACACACACAGAGAGAAACACAGGAAAGAAAATAAAAATGTCTATCTAATATAAAGTGAGACAAATATACAACAGCAAACATAAATTTAATTATAACACATTGATTTTACAAGGAAACAGTGTTTCCATTTAAAAGTAAACTCAGACAGTATTCTAATTAAATTCTTTATCATTCATTTATATTCTCTCACTGATATGCAGACAAGCCCAATTTTTGTACTATTTGAACTGAACGCCAAAAAAGAAAAGAAAAGGACTCTTGTTCATGGCTGTCATTTCAAGTGAACTTATTCACACTAATAATAAAGTTTTTACCGGTAGTAGGGCTTGTTTTTTGCAAAAAAGCGTCATTACCATACAGTATAAAAATGTTGCGTTGAATATTTAAATATCTGTAGCAACTGTACGAGTAGTTACGTTGTTCTTTAGTCATACAAAATAAATCCTTACATTAAATACCTTCCATCATGCACCAGATCACCTCAAATCTCTCTCTCTGATTATAATTACACAAAAAAGATTGTAAATGAGTACATTAGTGGTGATACATTAGTTCACTTTGGCCTGACGGAACAGGTTATTGACGTGTTTAGAAATTTCTTTCACCTTTAGTCCATATATGACTGGATTAAAGAGAGGATTATACATTATCATCTGCAAAGTCATTACAAAACGTACAGTTTTTGGAAAATCAGAGTCCAGTCGAACTATAATAATGTCATATGTCATCAAAAACGAATAGCTGATTAAAACCAACAGATGTGGTAAACAGGTCTGTGCAGCTTTTTTCCTGACTTCTCCACAACTTCGATAGGATATTACAAGTATCTTTGTGTATGTAAACAGGATGAAGAGCATAGGGAAAAGTGTAATATTAAGCAGAACAACTACACCATATATAGATAGTGCTCTTGAACTTACACAGTAAAGATAGTTAGCTGAATTGTTACAGTAAATACCTTTCAAAGTAAAGCTACAGAGTGTGTTGTTAACATTTAGTACAATTGCCACCGCAATCTCACAAGCAGGCACAAGCCAAGCTAAAACCAGCAAAATACTGACAGTTGTTTTTCTCATGATAGTTGGATATTGCAGAGGTTTACATATAGACACATACCTGTCATAGGCCATGGCTGCCAACAGTAAAAACTCTGAACAGCTTAAAAAGTAGAAGAGAAAAATCTGAAAGAGACAGGCTCGATAAGATATGATCTGTTTTTCAGATAAAAAGTCAATCAAAAGCTTTGGGTAGATAGCAGTGCTTAAAAGAACTGAGTTGACTAACAGAGCTGCAATGAAAATGTACATAGGCTCATGGAGGTTTTGGTGAATCACAATGAGGCATATGATGGTGGAATTACTGCAGATTATTAGAATATATGCTGTAAACATGATCACAAAATAAAGATGTCTGTATTTGTGCACTTCTACATAGCCACCAAGAGTTATATATGTTACATTTAATTCATCCATTTCATCCAGACTTAATAAATTAAATGTAACCAAATTAAACAGGTATGTTGCCGAACATGCAAACACAAACACAAATTGTGAAAGTATGTCAGACTTCACAAATTATAACCTCCTCTATAATTACCTGACAACGGAATGTACTTAGTTTGAGTTAGGAATTAAAAAAATAAACTGTTTGAGTTTGTTCAATGATTTTATAAGATTGTTTCACTCTCAGTAGACCTCATTAAACTCTCCATCAAGATTTTCTAACACGTAAACAGCGTCATAAAACTCTGGAGGCCTGAACCCACAGGTACAAACTAGGAAAACACAGGGATAATTGTATGAATCTTTCACAGGACCTAAGGCTGGTCACTTAAAAATACTCAGCAATCTACCTGGGGGTAGTATGTAACAGGCAGATATTCAGAATTCCCTCCATCATTGGCTGAAAGTATTGGGAGGGTGACCATTGGTCTGATTATCTCTACAGTTATGCATGAGTCTATAGCTATGCTGGACGCTCTGTGACACTCTGTGACATAATCTTCTTTTTTAAGATGGCGCCAGGTACGGTCGCCTGGGTGTCGTGGTGCGCTTTGTTTTATCTTGTTTTGTTTCTTAACTCAGTTTTCGGCTGTGATACCTGGAGCTCTTTCACAAGAGAAGAGCTCATGAACATCAGGGGAACAACTCCAGCTGATCTGTTTCCCACTTTTCTTCTTTCTTCTGTTGAAATTTTGGACATTGTGGTCAAAGGTGCGTTCACCTTTGCTCGCGCAGTGAAACGCAGAAGGAGAGCCAAATGTGCCGGTGTGCTTGTGCGTCTCCGCAAAGCGAGGACATTGCGCCATCGTTACCTGGAATATTCCTCTCCAACATGCATTCACTGTGCAATAAAATGGACAAACTTCAGCTACTTCTGGGGAAGAACAGAGACTTTTCTTCATCCTCTGTTTTATGCTTGAGACGTGACTGTGTGGATCGATACCGGACTCTGCGCTGCAGCTGGCAGGCTTCCAACTCTTCAGAACGGATCGTGACACAGAACTCCCCGGCAAAATAAAGGGTGGAGGTATCTGTTTTTACACCAACAGTAGCTGGTGTAATGATGTGACAGTGATCCAACAGCACTGCTCTTCTACTCTGGAATATTTCATCATAAACTGTAAACCTTTTTACTCCCCCCGTGAGTTTGTTTCATTCATTCTGGTCTGTGTTTACGTTCCACCGCAGGCCAACGTGCAGGACGCATAGCGCATGCTCGCTGACCAGATACTGTGTGTGGAGCAGACTAACCCGGACTCTTTAGTTATTGTCCTTGGTGACTTTAACAAAGGAAACATCAGCCACAAACTCCCAAAATGCCCGACCAGAGAGAAGAACATACTGGATCACTGTTACACTACAATCAGCAAAGCTTATCACGCCGTCCCTCACGCCGCACTGGGCCTCTCTGACCACGTCATGGTCCACCTGATTCCTCCATACAGGCAGAAATTAAAGCTCTGTAAACCTGTTGTGAGGACATTAAAACAGTGGACCAGTGAAGCTACGGAGGATCCCCAGGCATGTTTGGACTTTACTGACTGGGATGTTTTCAGGACTGCTACTGAAAGTCTGGACGAGTACACAGCGGCTGTGACGTCATACATCAGCTTCTGTGGGGACTGTTGTACACCATCACACACCAGGATGAGTTATAACAATGACAAACCCTGTTTCACAGCCAAACTCAGACAGTTACGGTTGCAGAAGGAGCAAGCATTCAGGAGTGGGGACAGGGACAGGTTTAAGGAGTCAAAGTACAAGTTTAGCAAGGCGGTGAGAGAAGCTAAACAACAGTCCTCTGAGAAACTCAAACATCAGTTCTCAGCCAATGACTCTGGTTCTGTCTGGAAGGGGCTCAGACAGATAACCAACTGTTCACGGACATCTTCAACACCTCATTGGAGACATGTCATGTGTCAGCCTGCTTCAAGTCATCCACCATCATCCCTGTCCCCAAAAAAGCAAGGACCACAGGACTCAAAAACAAGACTCTTGTATATGTGTACAGTACATATGAAATTGTGCTCTTGGCCTTTACTTCAGTGTGATTACATTAAATTCATACTTGCTGTATGTAAAGAGTTAAGGACATTTTACAGGTCTGACACAATACAACTGCAGACTTACTGACTTTCACATAAAAGTGACTCAGACATGTTACATCTGAAACATTTATTTAAAACTGTTTTTAACTACATTATGTTACAAAGAATACTGAAGCTAATGATACATTTTACTAAGTAGGAGTCATAATCAAATTCTTTGTAAATTAAATTCCTGTCAAAAATCACTGAAATCTCATCTCAACATTATTATTACAAAAGAAATACCAGTAAACTATTTATATTTGTTGATATATTAGTTCACTTTGTCTTGACAGAACAACCTCTTCAGGTGTTTAGAAATTTCTTTCATTTTTAGTCCATATATAATCGGATTAAAGAGAGGATGATACAAAATCACTTGTAAGGTCATTACAAAACGTACAGTTTTTGGGAAATCAGATTCCAGTTTAATTATAATGACATCATATGTAACCAAACAAGAAAAGTTGATCAGAATTAACAGGTGGGGTAAACAGGTCTGTGCAGCTTTTCTCCTGACTTCTCCACAACTTTTGAAGGTTATTATAAATATCCTTGTGTATGTAAAAAGGATGAAAAGCACCGGGAGGAGTGTAACATTTATCAAAACAATCACACCATATACAGATAGCGCTCTTGAGGCCACACAGTGAAGTTTGTAAATTGAATTGTTGCAGTATATTCCTTTCAAAGTAAAGTTACAGAGTTTGATATTAGCACTAAGTGCTACTGGTACTGCAATCAGACAAGCAGGCACAAGCCAGACACAAATTAGGCAAATATTGACAGTTGTTTTCTTCATGATAGTTGGATATTGCAGAGGTTTACATATAGACACATACCTGTCATAGGCCATTGCTGCCAACAGTAAGAACTCTGAACTATTTAAAGAATAATATAGAAAACACTGAAAGAGACAGGTTGAATAAGATATGATCTGTTTCTCAGAGAAAAAGTCAATCAGAAGCTTTGGGTAGATAGCAGTGCTGAAAACTAGAGAGTTGACTAACAGAGCTGCAATGAAAATGTACATAGGCTCATGGAGGTTTTGGTGAATCCAGATGAGATACACAATAATAGAATTACTGCAGATTATTAGAATATATAGTGTGAATATAATCACAAAATAAAGATATCTGTATTTCTGCACTTCCACATGCCCACCAAGGGTTATAATTGTTGCATTTAATTCATCATCCATGAAGCTTTTAAAAAAAAAAAATCTCAGTGTATAAACCAGGCAGATTTTGTAACAGGCATACACGATTACATTCAACCTGTTTGGATTGTTACCTGCACTTGAGTATGTGTTGACCTTCAGAGTTCAGAAAGTGAACTGCTTTGCTCTCTGGATTGTTTTTATCAGATCACTTCACCCTCCATGGATCTCATTAAACTCTCCACCAGCATCATGTAACATGTAAACAACTTCATCAAACTCTGGAGTCCTGTGGGCAGCAGCAACAATTAGGGGACCCTATGTTTCTAGGTATCCAAAGCTGGATAGGCCACCTTAAACATGCCAAGGATAATATGTCATTTCATCACCCAAAATGTTCTATTGCAATGGAGGCTAGAATTTTTACCTGAACATTTTTCTGTCCATCTTTCATAGACAGCCTTATGGAAGTTTGATTGCTGTAAAGAATGCATGAAGACACTGGTAAGTTTTTATTTCTCTTCTGTGGCAGCGAAAACAATATATGGTCTTTCCAACATGTTCTCTCATCCACACTTGTCAAATACTACTTGGTCAGTGGCCCTCTGCTTTAAAATATGATGCTTTAGGAGCCCCTCTCAACCTAAGTTGGAGTTAATAAATATGCAATGTCGTCAACTTCTGGTGAAGTTAGCAATAGTAATATACTACGATCGGTTAAACCTTAAAAAATAAAGCTTGCATGGTTGATGCTGTGAAATGGTTTAGGCAGAAAAAGTATTTGGTGACATAACTTACATTACTTAAGCAAAATGGTTTACTTTTGGTTTCACATGGGACACAAACAGTGGTCTTCTGCATTAAAGTCTTGTGTTTCTTGAACCATCCATCCACCCAACATATGCTGACTTTCTCGCTCTTTGTACTGTATCACCTGACTTTGATGGCAGGCGCATCCAGAAATGACACTAGACACCACAGTGTTATATTTCAAGCAGAGGGCCATTGACAAAGCTGCAGTATTTGATGAGTTAAGAGTAAGAACAGGTTGGCTTTTAGTATAACGCTGAAACCTGAGCTTATCTAGACACTTCACCTCTAGCAGTCATGATGAGTGTATGATACATAATATAGGTAAGTATATAAGTATGAATGATAATTATATCAGTTCACTTCACCCTCCAAGGATCTCAATAAACTCTCCACCAACATCTTCTAACATGTAAACAACTTCATCAAACTTCTTGAAAGTCCTGTAGGCAGGAACATCAACCAGGGGATTTATTATTAATAATAATGAACTTTATTTGTAAAGCAAGATAATGGTACACTACTTCAAGATAAAAGTATAGCCACTTCACGTGTAGGGATACGTGAGAATTTGAGGGCCAACAGTCTGGGAAACCTCCTCCAGAAATCTCCCGCTCCAGCATGTCAAACCCGGTTTGCTGCAGGAACGGGTGGTCCTCCGGCGTGTAGTGGGTCTGGATCCTCAGCACCTTGGTGTTTGCGCTGCTCCCTCCTCAGCTGGCCCTTGCGCACTGCTCGGCCCGTGCACACTGCTCCCGAGGCCAGGGCCTTCTTCCTGCAAAGCTCCGTTACATTTTTTTTATTTATTGTATGGCTGTGTTACATTTATTTCAGGTCAATAATGTCACTTCTCGGTCTTTTACGGCCCTGACGAGAACGTCTGTCTCCTCGGCTGTGAACCGCTCCTGGCGTGCGCCTGGCAAATTCGCCATTATAATAGCAATCCGCCATGGAACAAGCATGCCTGCTTTTAAAAGGAATGTGAGATGACGCTCTGATTGGTTTATTGCACGTTACGCCCAAACACACCTATGACTAATGTAGCTACTTCAGACCAACCCATTTTAGATTTGTGCCCGAGATCTGCCCACAAAGCTACTTGCGTTTTGCGTTTGATACTTGTGTTTCAGATCGGCAAGATAGGGCCCTGAGTGGGGGAGCTGTCTGTTCATATCTCTTTGTAGAGAACCCCCAAAGAAAGTTCAAATCGCCTCGTAGGCATGGCGTTTTTGATTTAATTTAGGTCATTACAGATGTACGTGACATAAGCTCGAGAAGACCATCTGCCAAGGAGTTTAGTGACGTTATCTGGGATTCCCTGTCTGGAAGCAGTGGATGTGGCCCGGATGCAAGGAATGCTCCTAGTACGGCTCTGGGGAAATTCCTGATTTGGATGGGATTTGCCGAAAGTGACGAAAGCGATTTCGAGTGGGTACGATAATCCTACTGATGGAATGGGAAAACGGGATGAATCTAAAGGGCGCAAGGACGTTGAGCGAAAGAAAACGGCAAGAGGCTTGGGTAATTAATTGATGGTTGGCTGAAGATAGGTTGAGCTTCTGTATGAACTGCATTATATCAAATCAGTGGGACTGGTCCCTTGTTTATGATGTCGGATGTCGGAAGCTTCATTTTGTTATCGTTGCGTTGGAAGGGTATGCTTCGCTGAGAGAGGGCGCACCTCGGGCGAGTGACCGTCCAATCGAGTTTGTTTACAGCCGAGGGACGGCTGGAGAGACGGCGAGGTGATGTCAGGTCACCCTGACTTCGCCCAAGGCAACTGGAAGGAGGGATTTTCATCGGACGTCAAAGACCAAAGACTCACCTGGAGCTGTTGACCGATGCTGTTGTAGTTGTCGGTGAATGAGGGCTGGGAGCGTCGGGACACGTGGATTGTTGAGCGGAGCCGTGGTGGCTGGCGAGAAGGAATGGTAGGCGAAGAAGAGGACTCTGAGATTTCAGGAGTTTGCCATTCGTCTTCAAACATGTTGCTGTCTGAAGGGTTGAGGATGAGCTTGTTCTCCGTTGTTTGAGGTATTCGTTTTTGTGTTTCTTGTCTAACACAGATCATGTGGAAACTGAGTCCAGGAGGGAGTGAACGGATAAGGTGTGCTTAAGTACGTTTTGAGCGGAAATGAGATGAGTGCAAGGCGTGGTCTTTGTTCCTGAACCTAGTTATAAAACTTCATCTAGCAATCAAATTGAAAGAGTTTTTTGCTTCTTTACAGCACTTTGAGAGGCCAGCATCAAACTTAGGATATCAAAGAGGAGTGTCTCTTGTTCCATTTTTGCTCAGCTCTCCTGCACTGATTCTATAAATCTTTTGTTCTCATCACCACTCATTAAGCCAGGGGAGTTATGTTTTGCTCGTTTCATCTTGGTAGGAGCAATGTTGTCAAGTAAAGCCTAACGTCAGAAACATTAAAATCAACCAATTCAATATTATCTAGACTAGAGTAATACCATGAGACAGCAGAAAGTCAGGAGTATGTCTCTTATAACGCGTTGGATTTTTAACTGTTCAAGATTAAAAGACTCAAAGAGATTAATAAAACCAGACAGTGTTTACCTTAGGTGGCCTATAGAGCAGGTTGTTTCCTAATGGGAAGGTTGTGGGTTCGATCCCCGGCTCCTGGTGCCACATGTTGAAGTATGCATTGGTCTGTGAATGTGTATGAATGTTAGTTTCTCTTTGATGGACTTCACTCCATCACTGTGTGAAAGGGTGAATGTGGCATGTAGTGTAAAAGCTCTTTGAGTGGTCGGAAGACTAGAAAGGCGCTATACAAGTACAGGTCCATTATCATGCTGGGCATTTAAAATAAAACCCAGACTCAAATAGAAAAGGTATTAAGAGAGACATGTAATTGTTTTGTAAATGTAAATCCTACACACTGGACCTTCAAATACTTTGCCTAATTTATGTCTGTAAAATATCTTGAATAGGAAGTCATGTTAAAGGTGGTGACATACCTGTTTTTACTTCATTTGCACAATAAAAATTGTTTACATTGTGCAACTTTTTTCATGCATTCTGATTTCTTCATGTATTGTATCAATTTGTGGGGCCAAGAAAACCCTATAGTATTTAAAGCCTTCAGTATATACATGATGGCAAAATATATTTTTAAGATTCTGTGTACCACTTTTAATGACGGTGAAACCTGCAAATTGTTAGAAATACCATGATATAGATTCTTGGGCAAACTGTCCAGCCCTATTGAGGGGCTTCATTAAGGCAAGTAAAAGATAAATACGATTTTCTTTAAATTTATTTTAAATAAATACAATTATGAAAAGCTACTCTAGTCCCAGAATAAAAGTATAGAGCTGGAAATTAGCTAAAGATGTCCCCTTTAATTTTCATCAACCTTAAGTGAACAGACTGGTCCAGACAGCTAAGAAAATAGACATGATTAAAGAGACTACATTAAAAGGTGACATACGACTTATATGTGAATAGTACAACTCTGCAACCTTGATGTGTTTACTATACATAATATAAGTACGTACATAGGCATATGTATGGATAATGAATAAAACACACCCTATACAATAATAATACAATTATATTAAATATGTAATAGAAAAGAATACAATTAAGTAAAATACAACATATGAAATACAATAATTTCAATATAAGTAACTATAGTGATAAAGTAACATAATGCAATTCAACAGATGCAGCTGTGCAATAAAAATGTTGCAGTTTGAATTAGATTTTTAGTAATTCTTCTATATTACATAAACTTACAATAATATTAGACACAGAAACAAAGGCTTACATTAAATAAAAAATAAAGATATTTAGATTCATATTACAGATGAAATGACTGCATGTTAATTTGGACACATTTGTTTAGCTTGTCTTCACACAGAACAACCTCTTGAGGTGCTTAGAAATTTCTTTCATTTTAAGTCCGTATATGATTGGATTAAAGAGAGGATGATACAAAATCACTTGTAAAGTCATTATTAAACTCACAGTTTTTGGAAAAACAGATTCCACTCTTAGTGTAATGGTATTATATGCACTCAAACAGGTAAAACTGATTAAAACCAACAGGTGGGGTAAACACGTCTCTGCAGCTTTCCTCCTGACTTCTCTACAACTTCTGTAGGATATAATAAATATTCTGCTGTATGTAAAAAGTATGAAAACCACAGGGAAAAATGCAACATTAAACAAAATAATCGGGCCATATACAGATTCAGCTCTGGAACTCACACACTGAAGTTTGTAAATTGTGCTGTTGCAAATTATTCCTTTGAATGTGAACTTACAGAGTTTTTTATTAGCATTCAGTATAACTGGAACTATAAACTGACTAGCAGGCACAAGCCAGGCTAAAACCAGGAAAATATAGACAGTTGTTTTTCTCATGATAGTTGGATATTGCAGAGGTTTACATATAGACACGTACCTGTCATAGGACATTGCTGCCAATAAAAAGAACTCTGAACTACCTAAAGAGTAATAAAAAAAGGCTTGAAAGAGACAGGCTGAATATGATATGATCTGTTTTTCAGATAAAAAGTCAATCAAAAGCTTTGGGTAGATAGAAGTGCTAAAAAGAACAGAGTTGAATAGCAAAGCTGCAATAAAAATGTACATAGGCTCATGGAGGTTTTGGTGAATCCAGATAATATACAAAATAGTAGAATTACTGCAGATTATTAGAATATATGCTGTTAACATAATCACAAAATAAAGATATCTGTATTTATGAACTTCAACATAACCATCAAGAGTTAAATATGTTACATTTAATTCATCATCCATTAATGTTGTCACAGATTAAACAATAATGAATATGACAGGCAGATTGTAGAAGAGGAATACAAAAACTAAAGAAAAGAAGTTTCACTATGAAGATTTCGTATGTGATTTTCTCATTCATATAGAGATACCTGACCAGGAAATGCATTAGGTTCATCTCCAGATTTGAGAAAGTGAACAGTTTGAATCAAGATTTTATGAGACATTTACACCCTCCATGGATCTCATTAATGCCACCAAGAGCTATCATCGTATCAACAACTTCATGAAACTCTGGAGGCCTGATTTAAAGCAACATTATGCAAGAATGGGTATTTCTTGCAATTTGGTGCATCGAAACAACACAAGGTGAAGATAGGCAGCTAAGAACAATAAGTAATGAGACCAACATTAAAATTAGATAACAAACCGATAGACAAACAGACTAACAAACAAGAAAAGATAGAGATAAATAAATGAAACAAGAGTTTTAGGGAGCATGTATTAGAAAGCGAACTCTGCATCTGGGATGCTGTATATAGGCATCTTCAACATGATGGGTGATGCTATTCCCCTGCCCCCCTCCAGGCCAAATCCATCAGTCCTGATTTCATCCTCTGGGCCTTAGCAGGTCCCAGGTAGTCAAAGAAAGAGTCCCAAATCCTGTAGAATGAGAAGGGTTTGTCCTTCAAGGCCGTGGAAAAGGCTTCAAAAGGAATGATGTTTGTCACAGTACACAACCATTGATTTAGGGTTGGGGCTTTATCAGAGATCCACATGAGTAGAATACACTTCCTGGCACTGTGCAGCAGAATATGCACCAGTTTTGTGTTATGAAGATCAGCAGGTAACTCATCAGGCAGACCCAACACACAAGTCCTGGCTCCCAGATGTAACGGGCGCTTAAAGATCTTATCGAGCTGTTGAGCAATTGTGATCCAAAACTGCTGGATATGGGGGCAGCTCCACAAACAATGAAAAAGTGAGCCAACAGCAGATTGATATTTAGTACAAAGATCTGATATGGCAGGATTCATTCTGTGTCTGACCTCAGGAGTAATATAAAGACGATGTAAAATCTTAAATTGTCTCTCCCAGGCTGAGTTAGAAGCTAAGACATTGGATGGCTGGTTACACGGTGCAGCCCAGTCCTCTGGTTTTATTGTAGTACCTAGGTCAGATTCCCATTTGTCTTTAACTTTATCGGAGTTGTCCTCCTTGAAGCCGCACAGTATGCTGTAAAGCCGTTTGGTAAGGAATTTAAGCTGTAAATTATCCACCAAAAGAGACTCCACAGGAGAGATGGCAAGTCCCCCAGAGAACACTTTTAACTTGGACAAGACAAAATTCCAAACCTGCAGATATTTAAGAAAGTCACCATTGGAGACACCAAACTTCTTTTTAACTTGCTGGAATGTGAGGGCTGAGCCACCCCGGACCATGTCCCCAACCACCTTAATGCCTCTGCGGCCCTAGTCGGCCAGACCAGCCCGAAGGCCAGGTGGGAAGTCTGGGTTATCATGAAGAGGGGTTAATAGCGAAAGACAATTATTGTACCCTTCTAACTTCCTGACCTGCCTCCAAATATTTAACATATTCCTTAAGACCATATTGTCATTTATCAATAACGATTGCGCAGGGGGATTCCATCCAAAGAGGCGGATTCACAGCTGAGCCAAGTAGAGTTAGAGTCCTGTATGAACCATTCCACAAGATATTTAAACTGTGCGGCCAATTGGTACAATGAAAATGATGGAGCCGATAAGCCGCCACACTTGGCAGGCAGACTAAGAAAACTGTATCTTAGCCTGGGTCTTTTTTTACACCAGATAAATGAAATGATAGAACTGTTTAGCTATGCAAGAATTTTCCTTGACAATAAAACTGGGAGCATTTGGAAGAGATACAGGAGACGTGGGAGAATGTTCATTTTGATCAGATGGATACGGCCTAGCAAAGATAGGGGCAGGCCACACCACCTATCAAGGTCATGCTTTATGGTACGTATGAGGGGAGTAAAATTAAGCTTGTAAAGATCTTTCAAGCATGGAGAAACTTTAATACCCAGATAGCAAAAGCCGTCTGGGGACCAGCGAAATGGTTGTGAGATGTTTGGATCTAACAATTGTGATTTGCCTAGTGCCATGGCTTCACTCTTAGAAAAAAATATTTTATATCCAGAAAAGGACCCATAATTATTAATTAACTCTATCAATTTCGGAATTGATTGTCTTGGGGAGTCGAGATAGATTAACACGTCTTTGGCATACAGAAAAATGTTGTGCTGTTGACCGTTTAAGGTGATTCCTGTTATGTTGACATCCTGTCTTATAACTGCAGCTAGAGGCTCCATAGCCAAGACAAACAACAGTGGGCTCAAGGGGCAACCCTGCCTGGTGCCTCGTTCAATACTAAAATTACTAGACCTGAGCCCATTAGTAATTACAGCAGATAGAGGTGAAGTATATAAGATCTGGATCCATTTTACGAAATCATCCCCCAGACCAAATTTATGAAGTGTGGAGAAGAGGTAAGGCCATTCCAGCCTGTCAAATGCCTTCTCTGCGTCAAGAGAAATAACCAAAGCCTCAGAGCTATGCATTGAGGAGTGCTGAATAATATTGATCAGTCTTCTTACATTATGAGAAGAATACCTCTCCCGAATGAACCCAGTCTGATCATTAGTGATGATATTGGGGAGGATTTTCTCCAAATGCAGGGCTAGGACTTTTGCTAACAGCTTCATATCTAAATTCAAAACTGATATGGGTCTATATGAAGAACATTCTCCCGGTGCTTTACCCTTTTTTGGTACTAAGGAAATATTTGCCTCCATTAGAGAAGGAGGGAGGGCTCCTGCCTCGAATGAGAATTGAAACATTTCGAACAATGGATCCACTAAAATGGCATTAAACTTTTTATAAAATTCTGCCCAGAAACCATCGGGCCTGGTGCTTTTTTATTAGGAAGTAATTGAATACAGCTCTTAATTTCACTCTGAGTCAATGGTTTACATAAATCTTCTCTTTGCTGGATTGTAATTTGTGGTAACTCCACTTTTGTAAAGAACTCACACATATTAAAATGTGACTGTTCATTAACGTGCGAGGCATAAAGTTGCTTGAAGAATATTTTAAAAGTATCATTAATTTCTACATTATTATAGCTAATAGTGGCCTTCCAGTTTCTGATACCCAAATGCTCTGGGTATGAGCCCTATTACGAAGAAAATTGGGCAGATAGCGATTAGGTTTATTCACCAATTCGTACATCCTTTGCCTTGCAAAGAACATTTATTTTTCTGCTTTTTTGGTTAGCAAAGCCTCTAGCGCAGTTTTGACTGTTTATAGTTATATTCAGTCTGAAGTTCATGAAGATCCAGCTCCAATTTTCTCTGTTCTTTTCGACTGTTATTCTTTTGTCTAGCTGTATATGAAATAACAAGCCCACGGATGTAAGCCTTGGTAGTATCCCATAATAGACCGGGGGACACATCAGGGGTCTTATTTTCTTTAAAGAAAAAATTAAGTTGTTCTCTTAAAAATATTTCAAAATTAGGGTCATGATTTAAGAAAGGGCTGTATCTCCAAGGTCTGCTCTGAAAACCGACATTTAAATTGCTTAAACCTATAAAAGCAGGAGCATGGTCCGATATGATAATGTCCCCGATACTACAGAACTTTACATTATTTAGTGAAGTTTTAGGGGTCAAAACAAAATCGATTCTACTGCTAGTTTTATGTACAGTTGAGTAATATGTGAATTCTTTATCAATAGGGTGTAACACACTCCAAGCATCGACAAGGCCGAGCTCGCTGCATGTGTGTGAAATAGCTTTGGCTCTCTTAGACATTGGACTTTGCACTGGTGGAAGTCTATCCAAGGCAGACGAAAAATAACAGTTAAAGTCCCTAGCTATTACAGTGTTGTGACCAATCCAGTCAGAAAATTTAGAAAAGACCTGTGAGATGAAGTCAGTGGACTGTACCGGGGGAAAGTATATATTCATCAATGACACAGCCTGGCCGTGGAGGCAGCCCCTTAGCATTACATATCTACCAGACTTGTCAGAAATTGTTTCAATGTCAGACAGTGGCAGGTGTTTGCTGATCAAAATAGCGACCCCCCTGCTTTTACTCGTAAATGAAGAGCTAACCACCTGTCCAACCCAATCACGCTTCAACTTGGAATGTTCATTGATAGACAGGTGAGTTTCTTGCAACATTGCTATGTGAACATGCTCCTTTTTTAGGAAGCTCAAATTTTTTTGTATATCCCTCTCACATTCCAGCTGCTGATCTTTAAGGTTGCTTTGTCACTCGCCATTGTATAATGAAAAAAATATCGAGGAGTGTAGATGGCATCCTGGGCCCCCAGAAACTAACAAAGGACATGTAATATAAACATAAGATAAAAAACAATGCTTTGCTCACTTCAAAACAATAACTATATACAATAGACATCAAACAGAAATAACAGGTACACATAGGGGTCAGACTTTGGCCTTATATACCCATATTGGGTGTAAGCTACTCTCCCTAGCCAAGGGGAAGGTGCTAGGCCAGCTAATAGCTTCTATTTTTTATTTTTTATTTTTTTAAAGTAGAACACAACTCAGGTATGGCCCGCAGCTCTATTCATAAAAATGACAGTTTTATCCAAACTACAGTAAAGGATCTAAAACTCAGAAAGTTTGAAAAAGAAAATAATATAACCTTTAGGTCAGCGGGAAACCTAGACACACTTAACGACACTGAGCAGAGCTTAGAGCCCCAACATCTCCTCAAAAGTGCGTTAGCAAAATGAACATTATACCCCGTCCAACAGCACATGGGCAGCGATCCAGCAACAGAAAACCTTAAACCTTATGCTCACCAGATCTGGAAATTACAGTCCAGGTCTCACATTGTCACTTAAGACAACACATGAGCGGACGGCGTGTGAGAGCCCGGTGGCAGCGGTCCAGTTTAACAGCTCCGCCTTTGAAGCTAACTTGCAGCAGCTCCGGCAGCCAAGTTTTAAAAAAGGAGACAGGGTTGCTGCCCTCGCTGCCTTCGGGTAGTCCGATGATGCAAATGTTACACCGTCGTCCCCTGTTTTCTAGCTCATCAATTTTATCCAGCGCTGTCTCCAGCTTCTTCCCGACTTCGGCTAGCTTAGCAGTGTGGTTCGCCATGGCATCTTCAGAGTCGGAGATGCGTTGCTCAGCCTCATTAAGCTGAGTATCAAATGCAGCGAGTTTAGATGAGCAAGCCTCTAGCCTCATGAGGACAGGGTCAATCTTCTTGTCGAAGGAGGCTTCAACGCCTTTGAGCACCTTGGTAGTGATTCTTATTAACAGGCTATCAGTCTCCACTTGACCCATAATTGGCGGCGGTGCATGGTCTGCCATGCTAGCTTGGCTAGTTTGGGACGACTGAACGTCGACAAATTTGGTGGATTTAGCCCAGTGTTTTTTTTTATATGTCTATGTCAAAAGTTACATCGAAAAACTGTATTGAGCTGCGGGAGCCGAGGTGGCGAGCTGTTACTCCGACATTTGCGTCACGTGACCCCGATTAAATTACTTTTGATCAAAACTGACATAGCTGAACATCAAGAAGTCAACAAAAAAAAGACAAGCTAATATTACTTAGCAGTCTGACAGCAAGCGGGCCACTTCAGCATTTGTCTTGCAACCTTTAATTTTGTGGACCTCGGCAACTACTAAAAGCCAGTCCGAGATTTACTCTTATCCGGTGGTCCAGCGGGCACTCTCTCCTTTTCTCTTCTTAGCTTCCTCCGTCAATGTCCTCTTCGGTCTCTTAACCTCTGCCATTATTTCCAGAGGTTGCTGAGCCTGGTTCAGTTCCCCATTTGCTTGGTTCCATCTATAATGTCCAGTTTGACCATCTCACCAAAATTATTGACATAGTTGAGGCGATTACAAGTCAGTGTGCCATCAAAATTATTTTGAAACTATAATGTTAAAGTAAAACAGTTACATAATGTTCCTTTAAGAAGATGTCAGTTCTATTTGATGTGGTGACACCTGTGGTTAGTGGTGGTAATGACTAGTGCGTTTTAACAATACAATCTATTTGTACACTGATTTATTACACAATGTTGTTTTAATGAAGACAATAAACTGCAACACAAAGTCTTCCTCCTCTAAATGCCGGCACCTGCATACATAGGTAATTACAGAATGCACATACTTGGGAAGGCTATACTACTATATAAGTATCAGCCATAATCCATCCATCCAATCACGTTTCTGAACCACCTCAACTGGCACCTATAGACACAAAGGAGCAGTGGCTCTACTCCAAGCTCCCTCCCGATGTCTGAGCTCCTCACTACTCAAGACCCTGAGATACTTAAACTCCTTCACTTGCAGCACCAACTTACTCCCAACCCAGAGGGAGCAATTCAGTGCTCACTAGCAGAGAAACCTGGCCTCAAACTTCAAACCTCAAACAATCATCATCTCCCAATTCATATTCGGCTGCAAACTGCTCCTGTGTTTGCTGGATGTCCTTGTCTGATGAAGCTAACAGAACAACATCATCTGCAAAGAGCAGAACAGCAGTTCTTAGGTCCCCAAACTGGACTCTCTCCACCTCCCTGACTATGCCTTGAGATCCTATCCATGAGAGTCACAAACAGAATAAGTGACAACCTTGACCAACACCCACTGAAAATGTGTCTGACTTTGGCTCTCACTGTGGTTATATAAGGACTGGATGGCTCGTGGGCCAATGGGCCTCATAATCCATACCCCCACATACCACCCACAAGACACGACTCAAGGGTCAATTTCACGTTTATTAGAATATATACTGTAAACATAATGAAAACATACAAATATCTGTATTTGTCCACTTCCACATACCCATCAAGAGTTATGTATGTTACATTAAGTTCATCATCCATGAAGAATGTCACAAATTAAACTATTAAAATAAATAAGAAATTAAATAAACGGAGAGAAGAGACTTCTTCACCCTCCATGGATCTCATTAACTCCTCCACAAAGAACTGCTATGTGAACAACTTCATCAAACTCTGGAGGCCTGAATCAACAGGTTTTAAACTTTGTTTACATGAGCGTGTGCCTGAAATGGGCAGTACTGAGTACCAGCACTGATATTTGCCAATGAGTACCTTTGCTACTTATTAAGTACCACCACCTCTGGTGATCATGGCCATACTCATCACTATAGTCACCAGTATATCACCAGGGGTATACGATAAAAGTTGTGAGATAATTGTTTAAAAAAAACTACTTTGATGCATGCCACTTGCAAATTAAGTTTTTGGACCTCTGCATTTCGAAAACTGTGTACAGCAATTTTGGAAGGCCACTCCTAAACAACTGCGTGACTGTGTCTCTATTTAAACACATAGATAGGTTATGTTTGTTACTCATGGTAAGTACATGAAACAATCACCACAACTCAAACCTGAATGCTGAATTTACAGACTAATGACAGCAAATCATATATCTGTCAGTGTCACAATCCACTTTACACACACTAAAGGAGACAGGACTCACTAAGTTACACAATGTTATTTATTGTGACAGATTGTAATGTGTAATGGGGAGTCCAGAGCAAGGGACACATCTCCACAAGCCAACAATAAAGCCAGCCATCCTGCACAGCCCCAGTTTGAAGTTTGTTCCCTATACTACTACCCCTGAACTGAAGGTTGAACTCAAATGTAGGCACTTGACAGATAAGATTTGAAATAGGGGAGAATGAATCCATGTAGAGGAAATTCCAGGGACGAGACCTGGCTGACAGGCAGGCAAGTTATTAAGCCTCTTCTAAAGAACAATCTTTATGCCACAGTTCTGAGTAACCATCAGCCTATATCAAACTTATTGGTTTTAGCTAAAGTCATTCAAAAAGTTCTTCAATAATAACATAGTCATTTTTTACAGTTGATAACTTTTTGTCAGGATTTCGGCCCCATCACTGCACTAGGTGCTAAATTACATTTGCTTGAACAACGACTTTGGCAAAGTCTTTGTCTTGGTATCGTTAGATCGTATCTTTTGACAAAGTGGACCATAAAATTCTGTTGCTGAGATTGGAAAACTGGGTGGGACTCTCTGAAACTGTCCTGGGGCAGCTGTGGCCCAGAGGCAGAGCGGGTCGTTCCCTAATCGGAAGGTAACCATTTAAGTTGTTCAAGTCATACTTTCATGACAGAAAGAACTTAGTATCCAGTAACTGTTGTGGGGTTCCACATCTTAGGACCTCTCTTGTTTAATCCTATAATTTGCCTTTAGGGCAAATTATTCAAAATTATAAAGTAATTTACCATAATTATGCACCTAAATCTACATTTCACTTATCACTTATACTAGAGAAAAAGAAAGAGATAACTGTCTTTGGAGCACAGATATAAAGAGAATATCGACTCTCACCTTAATTCCCTGTCTCTCATCTCTAAGAGTCAAGCCAGAAATGTTGGAGTCATCTTGGTCTCATCTTATCTGTCACTTAATTTGTTTGCTACCATCCAAAATATGTTGCTAGAATCAGGGGAAGTCCAAGCAAGATTTAGAAAATCTTATCCACTTCCTTATTTCCAGTAGATTAGATCACTTCAATGGTTTGAACACAAGGCTTTCAAACAAAGTTCAAAGCTTTGCCTTGCCATTGTTCCTGGCAAATATCTTGTTATACTGTTTTCTTCTCCTTCTATTTTGACTGTGATGGTCAGAGGTTTTAGTGATAGTGCCAGTAAATAAGGAACATTAGAGCTGTGACAAAAATAATGACTTTTTCCCGAGTTTGCGTGTGTAGCAGTGGAAGACAAATTATCATTGTTACAAGTGCACATGTTCACACATGGAACACAGGCATGTCCACACTGTCAGTGCTGTTTTAACACAGTAGCCATCTGCATTAATATAATTTATTATATTACAAACTTACTTTATCTTACTTTAAATGCTTAACAGTATCATTTCCTTGAACAGTCAAGTACAGTTGGCATTTGACTTTTAAATGGCAAAGTTTGAAAGTGAAAATACAAACACAATATGACATCAGGTATAGGATCATTTACAGGTAAGCAGATACGTAGCTAGTAAAAATGGTTGGTTGGTAAGTTGGTAAGTAAAACCATATTATTCCTTTTCATATACAAACTAATTTTTATGAAAATAAGTGCGTTCATTAAACACTTTACACACAGAATTGACCTGTCTGCATAATAATTTCTGAAGAAATGACTGTACCTTATAAATCAGTGTTATTACATCAAATTATTTTGGCTGGACGGAACAACCTTTTGAGGTGTTTCGAAATTTCTTTCATTTTGAAGCCATATATAAGTGGGTTAAACAAAGGATGATATAAAACTATTTGTAACATCATTATTAATCGTGCCGTTTTTGGAAGATTTGATTCCACCCGAGCTATACTGACATCATATGCACTTAAACAGGAGAAACTGATTAAAACCAACAAATGGGGTAAACAGGTCTCTGCTGCTTTTTTCCTGACTTCTCTACAACTTCGGTAAGATGATATAAGTATCCTTGTGTATGTACAAATTATGAAAAGCATGGGGAGAATTACAAGATCTAATAAAGCAACCACACCCTGTATAGTAATTACTTTTGATTGTACACACTGGAGTCTGTAAATTGCATTGTTACAAAATATTGCTTTTAAAGTAAAGTTACACAGTTTAGTTTCAGCACTCAGTATTGCTAGGATTGCAATATGACAAGCAGGTACAAGCCAAGATAAAACCAGGAAAATACTCACTGTAGTTTTTGTCATGATGGTTGGATACTGCAGAGGTTTACATATAGACACATACCTGTCATAGGACATGGCTGACAACAGTAAGAACTCTGAACTGCCAGTGTAGTAAAACATGAAAAATTGAAAGAGACAGACTGGATATGATATGATCTGTTTTTCAGATAAAACATCTATCAGAAGCTTTGGGTAAATAGAAGTGCTGTAAAAAACACAGTTCAGTAGCAAAGCTGCAATGAAAATGTACATAGGCTCGTGGAGGTTTTTGTGGATACAGATAAGGTACAGAACTGTAGAATTACTGCAAATTATTAAAATGTATACTGTAAACAAAACCAAAAAATAAACAAATCTGTATTTGTGCACTTCTACAAGCCCACTAAGAGTTATATATGTTACATTCAACGTGTAATCCATTATTGTTGTCTAAAATAAATGTAAAATAATAAAACAGATTACACAAACAGATTATTAGAATAATAATTAAAAAAGAATGAAAAAAAGTCTTGTTATAATGATTACCCCAACAACATTGACAACTCATTCAAAGGTACCTGACCTTGAAAATTCAGAAAATGAACTGTTTGAGTCTGTGGAAAGTTTTTATTGGATTGCTTCACCCTCCAAGGATCTCATTAAACTTTTCACCAAAATAGATTCTAATACGTAAAGCTCATCAACTCTGGAGGGCCGAAGTCACAGCAATGTTTACAAAATTTTTCCAACTATAATAATAATAATAATAATTATAATATTAAAGCTGCAAGCAGCAATGGACGGGACCTCGCACTCCACGCAACTCGGGGCGTGCTGCGGCCGCGTCACGTGCCGTCATAACACGTGCGGACCACGACATGAAAATGTCACGTAAATCAGCTCAAAATCGCCACGCAGCACTTACTTCCTGTTGCCACTAGGTGGCACTATCACTATGTGTTCAGGGCAGGACTCTTATCAGACATGTGAAGTTTGGAGCTGATTGGACAATGTACACTCAAGTTATAGCAACTTTGTGTGTTCTGGCGGTACATCAAAGTTTGACGCCACGCCACGGACACGCCCTGTAACAAAAACTCACCACAATCAAGAAATATCATCAAGAACATGTTTTCCATTTTCTGACTAGATTTCAGCCAGATCTGATCATCCTACTAGGAGTAGAACATGGAAGTATAAAAAAATTACATTTCCTTTCACCACTAGGTGGCGCTCTCACTTTTACTGAATATTATCACATAGACGTATTCAGGGCGGGACTCTTATCAGACATGTGAAGTTTGGAGCGGATTGGACAATGTACACTCAAGTTATAGCAAATTCGTGTTTTGTAGCGGTACATCAAAATTTCCTGCCATGCTACAGACACGCTCCCTCACCGCAGTCATCACATATAATCAACAATGTGTTTTGCATTTCAATTCAATTCAATTCAATTTTATTTGTATAGCGCCAATTCATAACAGAAGTTATCTCAGGACACTTTTCAAATAGAGCAGGTCTAGACCGAACTCTTTAAAACATTAATTACAGAGACCCAACAGTACCACCATGAGCAAGACCTTGGAGACAACATTTTTTAAGTAAATTTCAGCTGGGTCTAATCATCCTGCTAGGAGTAGAACATGAAAGTATAAAACTTGATACTTCCTGTTGTCACTAGGTGGCGCTCTATTACCGAATATTATTACATAGACATGTTCAGGGCGGGACTCTTATCGAACATGTGAAGTTTTGTTGCAGTCGGATCATGTACGCAGAAGACGCCACGCCACGGGCACAATGATGGACGAAAAAAACTGACTGCACTGACCAATTTTGAAGTAGATCCAATAGAACCTGTAGGAGGAGTTAGTTAAAATAGAAGCCCTGAAATGCCAAAAATGACATCACAGTTATGGCCAACTTTAACGGCACGCCACGGACACACCCTTCAACGTACAGTCTAAAAATGAACAGCGTTCATTCAGCACCATTTTGTGACTGTACTGACCAATTTTGAAGCAGATCCCAGAAATTCCCTAGGACGAGTTCGTTCAAATGCAAGGCAAAAATTCACCAAAAATTACCACAGACTTAAAAATGGCCAACTTTGACGGCACGCCACGGACACGCCCTTCAACGTACAGTTACAAATTGAACAGCGTTCATTCAGCACCATGTTTTGACTGTACTGACCAATTTTGAAGCAGATCCAATAAATTCCCCAGGAGGAGTTCGTTCAAATACAAGCCCAAAAAGTCAAAATGACCACAAAATGATGAAAATTAAAAATTTAAATTGCAGACTTCCTGTGGGTTTTGGGGCATGGGTCCAAGAGGCTTTTCTGCTTCTTTTATCATGATACACATGCGTAGCAATTTTCGTACATGTGGGCCTTACGTGTCTTGGGGGCTGATTCTGGGGAGCGTGGCTTAGCCATTTGGCGGCGCCCATGCACAGGGACAACGTCATATCGATATTTTAGCTACATTTGGATTTTGTGCAAATTTTCATGGCATTTTGAGCATGTTGCGGGGGCCAAATATGCGGTCGAAGTCCCAGAGGTATAATAATAATTCCTAGAGGAACAATAGGGTCCTTGCACTTGTTAGTGCTCGGTCCCTAATAATAATTTATAGAAAACTTTTTAAGATACTCTGCTAGGTACGAGATGAGTCCGCCTAAAGATGGGGAGATTGACCATCTGGTGACCTGGTCCAGAACAACCTGGCGCTAAACGCTCTGAAAACAGTGGAGATGGTTGTGGGCTTCAGGGAGAGCCCAGCCCCACCTGCCCCCATCATCCTGTGTGACTCCCCAGTTGACTCTGTGGAGTCCTTCCGCTTCTTGGGTACACACATTACCCAGGACCTCAAGCGGGAGCTGAACATCAGCTCTCTCACCTAGAAAGCCCAGCAGAGGATGTACTTCCTGCGGGCAGCTGGGGAAGTACAACCTGCCAAAGAAGATGATGGTGCACTTCTACACCGCCATCATCGAGTCCATCCTCACCTCTTCCATCATCTTTTGGTACGATGCTGCCACAACCAAGAACAAGGGCAGACTGCAGCGTATCATTCGATCTGCTGAGAAGGTGATTGGCTGCAATCTGCCATCCCTCCAGGACCTGTATGCCTGCAGGCAAGATTGTGGCTGACCCCTCCCACCCTGGACAAAAACTCTTGAAACACTTCCCTCTGGCAGGAGGCTGCGGTCCATCAGGACCAAAACCTCTCACCACAAAAACAGTTTCTTTCTGTCTGCAGCTGGCCTCATTAACAAGGCCCGGACCCCCACTGACACTGACTCTTATACCCACCCTGTATATACAGTATGCATTACATTAATGTACCCCTGTTGGTTTTTCTATCCTGCACATTGTAAATATCTTAATATCTAAATATCTATCCTGTACAGTTCGGATCTTTCTATCTTTATCAGTATCTTTATTTATTTATATTTTAAAAAGTACTTTATTTTTGTGTGATTTTTATGCAGCAATGCATCAAGACACATTCCTTGTATGTGTAAAAACGTACTTGATTCTGAGATGACTCCGAGGTTGTGAATGTGTGGGCAGGGAGACAGAGTGGTGCTGTCAATGGTGAGGCTGAAGTTGTTTTTGATGAGGTATTTGGGAGTTGGATTGCATCCATGATTTGATTTCAGTGAGGCAGTATGTCAGAGTGGAGTGGGTTGTGGGTGTTATGGATTTAGTGGAGATGTAGAGCTGGACGTCATCAGCATAACAGCGAAAGCAGAGACCATGATGGCGTATTAGGTTAACAAGGGGGAGAACGTACAGAATGAACAGGAGAGAACTGAGCACTGAACCCTGGGGGACACCTTGGGACAGGGGAGGAGTGGAAGATGTGCAGTTGTTGATAAGGATGAACTGTTGTCTGTTTGTGACTTATGACCTTCGCCAGGAGAGGGCAGCACCAGTGTGATTGAGGGAGGACTGAAGGCGAGCGAGAAAAATGGTGTGGTTGATGGTGTCAAAAGCTGCAGTGAGGTCCAGGAGGATGAGAATGTTGAGATGACCAGAGATTTGATGTGATGAGTGAGGAGATGACTGGGAGACATTCCTTGATGAGAGCAAGGATAACTTTGCCAGTATTGGTGTCACTGACTTTGATGCATATGACACAAGTAGGCCCTCTTGAGCTCCAAGTTGTCTGGACCAGGTCAACAGTCTACCAGTCTCCCACCTGTAGGCAGACTCATCCCCACCACAGATGGGCCCAATGAGGATGGTGTCATCCAGAAACCAGACGTTTCCCCAGCCTCACACACTGCCTCCTGTCAGACAAGAAGTCTGTGATTGTGATGCTCCTGAAGAGTCCTTGTGAGTCTGTTGGCACTGTAGGAAAACTGTAAAGGGTCCAGGAGTGGGTCAGTCAAGGTTTTTTAGGCAACAGGGATAAAGTTTCTAAGTAGCACATTGCAGATCTCCAATGAGGTGCTGAAGATGTTTGTGAAAACTACATTTGCATAATATGTTTCTGTGGAGGTAGGCATGGTTTGCTCTCAGCGGCAGGAAAGAGAGGTGTGGGGAAGGCTTGTGAGAGCAGCACCAGGTGAGTTGATTATTTCAGCTGCTAGTCATTTAGTAACACTCTACCTTTAATGTTGCAGTAGTGTGCTGGACCTGGGGCCAGAGACAAACAGAGTTGGTTGTATGTTGTCTGTGGTGACAACATAGTGTCAATAAAAGTAACGTGGTACAACTATCCGGTGTGAGTTTGTGTGCTGTAGATACCAATGGTAGCTAGAGACTTGCTACAGTTTCTATCTGTTATTTTACATTAGCTACTATTCATTCTTCTTCATGTTCATCATCATCATCAGTCACTACTATTAGTGTAGTTGTTGCTACTGTTGTTGCTGTGAACCTCTCTCTCTCTCTCTCTCTCCCACCCCAACTGGTTAAGGCAGATGACCACCCACCTAGAGCCGGGGTCTGTCTGATGTTTATAACTCTTAAAAGGGAGTTTTCCCTTGCTGCCATCACCAAGGTCTTGCTCATCGTGGTACTGTTGGGTCTCTGTAAATAATGTTAGAAGGAGATCGGCCTAGACCTGCTCTATTTGAAAAGTGTCCTGAGATAACTTCTGTTATGAATTGGCACTATACAAATAAAACTGAATTTAATTGTATATTAGATATATTATAATATATATTTTTCATAATAGTTCATGTGAGGGTGGGTGTGGTTGCACTGCTGCAGGAGAGAGAGGTGTGGGGAAGGCTTGTGAGAGCAGCACCAGGTGAGTTGATTACCTCAGCTGTTAATCGTTGCCTAATCACTCTAACCCTTTAGAGCCACAGAGTAGTGGAACAGATTGAGTGTTGTTTGTGTTGGTAACTGTGAGACTTAAATAAAAGTTTTGTGTACTACCAAGACTCACGGTTGTAGCGAGACCTGCTACAAGTTAATGTGAAAGAAATTAACAAATGCAGCCACCCAAAGATTTTCAGTGGCCCGATCTAGCAAATCCTATTAGAAAATTCTGGGGCACCAATGATGCTGAGCAGATTGGATGTTTCATCACAGTACAGTCAGTGCAGTATAATTTAG